GGATCTTGACTTATCCCATGACATTTAATAATTTGATCTGATATCTTATATTTATGAACTTTAAGATATATTGTAACCTAATTATTTTAAACAAATTCATTAATAAACTATAATTTTTATAATTTAATAAATAAGTTAACTCACATGATGCAATTAATTATACCTCATTAATAAATTCCAATGAAACATTTTGTGAATTATTCAGACTTTTAAAAGCTACAAAGACACCATCTTTACGTCTTTTCCACTGATGGCATCTTGTATCCCAATGCAAAATATAGCCACTATTCCAACTTGCTCTATATACTTTTCCAAACCCACCTTCTGCGATATATTTAGGATTTTTAAACATATTATAAGGCATCCACTCTAATATTTGGTGATGATTTTTTGCCGATAACTGAGTATTTTGAATGAACTTATCAATTACATCATTACCACTAGTCCAATTATGAAAATTTTGCTGAAATCTTTTTGAATTACAAGATTGGCACCAATACTTCTCCGTATTTATTTGGTTGCACTCTACACACCTTCCATAAGCTTTCTCACAATGCTTTGAATAACAAGTATCGCAAAAAGGGTCACCTAATGTTACTTGTTCGCATTGGTAACATGTTCTGTGTTTTGGCTTTTTTTCATCTAATTGATCCATTTCACAAATAAATTAATTAATTTGTCACAAAGTTTATCATTAAATTTTATTCGGTAAATTTTGATACCAATAAAAAACCAATAGATAGACGTATTTATATCTTGATGATTGACATGACTTTTTATGGCAAGAATCAGTTACGTCATGCTTTCATGTCATTCTTTCTCTTTTAAACCTTTTTTATGACAAGAATGAACCAGGAAACAATTAAATATTGACTATATTATTTTTTTTTTGAAGTTTATAGAAAGCTTATTCAGGTTAAGAATTATAAGCTTTTTATGGAAATGATCAGTTGATAACAGACCATTCATAAACGTTACAGTAAAATTTCTAGTGTGAGAAAATTTGTTAGGGGTATCGTTCAAGATATGCATAAAATATATACATTTTAATTTTTTATTTTTTAAGGAAAAAAAGAATTTTTTTTTTTTAGCGGTATAAGGGAAAAAAAAGAAATGTGTTGCCCCATTAATCTATAGATTATCATAATTTCCATAATAATTTCCATAGGTGCTAAATCTTCAAATTTAATAATTTAATGATTTTATATTAAACTAAATGAACGTTGGCTTGATAGTATAAAAATTTTTTCAATCGATATTGATTACATTTTTTCATAATATACTAAAAATGAAAAAAGAAATATACTAAAAAGTAAAATTTTGAAATTTTTTCATTTAATATTTTTCAGGGAAATCAGTTGGTATAATGCAGAAATAAAAAAAAAATAAGAAATAAATTCAAACAAAATTAATATTATGAAACGTCATAAAAAATTTGATAAAATTGAATAACATAAAATCATTTTGCCGTTTACTCTCTCTTCTCTTTTCAGGTCCTATTTGCCTGACTTCTTATTGCTCTAATATTTAATAGTATTCTCTGAATTGTTTTATTGTTCTTAAAATTTTCCACAACATACCACCTAAAAATCCGCACTTCAAGCACAATGGACTGTTAGTGTCCCAATCCGTCATCCGTTTATCATGATATTCGACGGATATCCGAAGGATAATCAGATCGGATAAAAACAAATTTACAATGTCGAATGATGCGTTATTGTCCATTACTCAATTATCTGAGAAATCTAATCCGGTATTATCCGTTATCCGAAAAATTCGAATTTTTTGGCGGATATCCGTAATCCGACGGATAGCGGTTTAACGGAATTGAACACTACGGACCATTCAATAATAATCAGTTCATTCTTGGGCACTTTCACGAATCACGGGATATATTTAATATACACTTGTTAAATATTAATTTAATTTTTCCACTTTTAAGTCTTAAAGGTTAGATTGATTTCATTAAAAATTACTCTTAGTTCCCATAAAAAAACAAGAAATTAATTTTTTCCGAACCCCTATAAAAAAAGAAAATTCGGAATTTGTCCTGAAAAGTATGGAAAATGTCAGGAAATTTTCCGTGCGTCCGGAAAACATTCGGAAACGGTCATGTTTTGGAACACTTTCCGGACGCACAAATTCCAGACATTTTCTTGACACTCCAGAATTTGTCCAGAATTTGTCCAGAATCGAGCGTCCGGAAAATGTTCCAAAACATGACCGTTTCTGAATGTTTTCCGGACGNAGCGTCCGGAAAATGTTCCAAAACATGACCGTTTCTGAATGTTTTCCGGACGCACGGAAAATTTCCGGACATTTTCCATACTTTTCAGGACAAATTCCGAATTTTCTTTTTTATAGGGAACTTGGAATTTCCCGTAATGGTTCAATAGGGTTCAACACTGACTTATAAGCTTTTTTAGCAAGAATCAGGACGAAGAATAACATCTCGAGAGCTTTCCATGAATCTTAAAGAAAATAGCATAATTTTATAATCCAATTGTTCCTGGTTCATTCTTGCTATAAATGAGGCTTGTATCGATTTCGGTTAGTAATGAGGTAAATCTCAACAAGAATGTTATAGTTAACACGTTTAATATTTGGTAACACAACGAAACCATTTGCTGATCATTTGGGCTGAAGATAACATATATTTAAGACATCGTTACGATTTTGTAACAATATTTTTCAACAGCAAAATCTACAAATTAATTTATTTGCTATGGATCAATCAAATGAAGAAGAAGTAAACGTAGACAAAAATAAGTGTGCTCAATGCAAAAAAATAGATGCCCACTGTGAAACTTGTCGAGAAAAAAAATATGGAAAATGTAGAGAATGTGAGCAAATATATACAGGGGGTAGATGGTGTCAATCTTGTAATTCAAAAAGATTTCAACAAAACTTCGGTAATTGGACTAGTGGTAATGGTGACATCGATACGTTCATTCAAAATACTCAGTTATCAGCAAAAAATCAACACCAAATATTGGAATGGGTGCCTTATGATAAATTTTTTAAAATTAAATATATTGCAGAAGGAGGATTTGGTAAAGTATATAGAGCAAAATGGAGTGATGGTCATATTTCACACTGGAACATGGATTTAAGTCGATGGGTAAGAAGACATAACGGTAATTATGTAATTCTTAAAAGTTTGGATAATTCACAAAAAGTTACATTGGAATTTATCACTGAGGTATAATTTCAGTTATATTATAGATTTCGCTAAAAGTTTAGATTATTATTGTTTTATTAATTAATTTATTGAAAACAATTAGATTACTTTATATCCTAAAATTCGTAAAAGTAAAGCACCAGATGTATTTTATGGAGTAACTCAAGATCCAAATACGAAAGACTATGTTTTGATTATGAGCTATGCCGTAAACAATTGGTATAAAAAACTTACATTGCCTAAAAAGAATTTAGGTTGGAGTTTACAGTTGTGGAAAGAAAAGATCGATAGTATACAATGTATTGCAACCAGACTTAAGAAAATTCATTGCAGAGAATTAATTCATCGAAATTTACATATTGGAAATATATTACGATATAGAAATGTATTTTGTATAACTGATGTAGGATTTTGTAAGCCAGCGAATTATAATGAGTTAAAAGATGTAGAAAATAATATGTATGGTGTTTTATCTTATTTGGCTCCTGAAATTTTAAGAGGACAAGATTATACCAAAGCTTCAGATATTTATAGCTTGGGCATAGTTATGTATATGGTAATTTCACAAATGCCTCCATATTATGATGTTGCTCATGATGAAGGTTTGGCACTAAGGATATGTGAAGGATTAAGACCCAGTTTTAATTTTAGAGTACCTAAATTGATTTTGCATTTAATTAAAAGATGCTTAGATGCAAATCCGTTAAATCGACCAGCAACAAAAGAAATTATAATGGCTCTTCATGAATGGTCAGTGGGACTTAAATTATATTTTAGGAGTAAAGTAAAGAAAACAGAAATAATTAAGACAGAATTAATTGAACAAGTTGAAGAAATTACCAATAATCTCTCTCCTGATAATTCATCGTTAACAAATGAAATACATTCCGAAGCTATTTATAAAAGTAGACCATTTAATTTTAAAAATCTCCCTACACCAAAGAATTCTGATAATTATTATGAAAATTATGAGAATATATCAAGTATGAAGTACTCAGGTACTATTAAATAACTTAATTCATTTATTTGCTTATCAATTAAAATTTTTATATTAATACAGTACTAATTTTTTATAGAAGGATAATGATGAATCTATAAACAAAGTAAGAAGGTTTAATATTAATTAATTCGCACTTAATTAAACATACTTCATAACAACTAAAATATTTTTTTTTTGTTATCGAAGATAATGAGATATAATTTGATTTATTATTATTTTCATTTTTATTTTTTTTTCTTTTATAAATAGCTTACTTATAATTTTGTTCAACACTGATTATAGAATATCATGTAAATTTATCTTCTTTTTTACATAAATAAAATCAGTTTGTAATTGGGCAAGGTATTTTCAACCAGATCGGTTATTTTGATAAAAATATGAAAGATCTATACGTTACATATTGCATTTTTGACTATCAATAATTAATTGCTTTTCTAAAGTTTATATTTGCATGTTTGCTTTATAAGGCTGGATAAATAAAAATTTTTGAAAAATGAATGTGATTCACTGTATAAAAAATTTTTATACATCTCGTGATATAAAAATCATGTGATTTTATACATAAATTTTTTATTTATCGATGCAGGACGGGCTATGAGAATCTAAAATTTTAATTTGCTACGCTATATAATATCTGATTTTAAACAATAAATTCATTAATTCATTTTATTTAACTCGAAAATAGCTTTAATAAGCTTGTTAAAATCACTTATTACAAATGACGTAGTCAAATCACTCAAATCTCAATTTTCCATCTCTTTCAATAATCCAAGAATGTAGTATGATCAATTTTATTTAATCATGACACTAAGAGAAAGATCAACTAGTACAAACAATTTTTGATTCTCGAGTCATTATAATTCTATCTCCAATTTTAACAACACCCAATTCAATCCAATCCTTTTCTTTGAGATAATCAATATCTACAACGGAAATCCCATGTTCTTGAAAGGAATTTAAGTAACTCATAAAATTATTATTTCTGTCATAGTAGAAATCATCCAATTTTTGCAAAAATTGTTCCATAGACATGGTGGTTATGGAAGGTGGTTTCAGTCCCAAAATATGATCCATTTTTTCATTCAATTCACCTAAATAATCTCTGACATCTCGCATGTCTTGTTGTAACCTGTTAATCTCTAAATTTAATAAATATTTTGATTCCAACTCTTCGCAATCTTGGATCGAATATTGTTTTGGTATACCTATTTTTCCGTACATGGCATCTACTTCATTAATTTCAAATCTATCAATCGCTGAACGTGTGAGATGTACATGCAAGTGCCCGTGGAACTCCTTTGCTCGTTTATCTTTTGCTTCAGCGGCTTTCCAAATTCCGAAATTTAACGCAAGAAGCTCTATTGGACATTGTTTACTGTCTTCACAAATTTCTTTGGTCAAATAAGTATTTAAGAAATATTCTAACACCCAATTCCAAAATGTAAAGTCTTTAATAAGTTCTCTGTTATTTTTGTGGTTTATCTGTTGATAATTAGGTGGAATTGTGTCATTTTCGTAGCCTATAGCTGGGTGAGGGCAGATGAGCACTTCGCGAACATCATCTTGCTGTGATAAAACAATCCAGCCATTATTCTCCAAGACAATTCGTTCATTTTCAGCATACCAGTTACAAAAATGATTTGTACGATTCATTTGTGGCAAACTTTTAGCGCAAAAAATTATAGGTTGGTCAACATTACTTGGACAATGTACTGAAATATAACATTTATCAGAATTTGGATTTTGTTCATGAAAACATATTAAATCTGTTGATAAATAAAAACTTACTTTTAGGTTTTCTATTTGTAAAATTTCGTCGACATGTATTTTTTTTAGGTCGAGGATTTCGCCAGTCTTGATCGATTTCACTGATAGGATGTTCAAAATTGCAGTCTGCGTGATGTTCGCAATATTTGTTTGAAGGTACAGAAATTTTCTCGGATTTACGTGGAGGTGGTGGAGGAGAATAGGAATCTCTAACGCTGTTTACATAACTTCTTGCAATTTCCATTATTTCATTTTTGCTGAAGTTTTGGCAAAGATGTTCAAACCAGGTGGTGGTTTGTACCTGCAAATTATACACCCATTCCAATTTTTGATCATTAACGGGAGTAATTTCAATACGAAAGGTGTTAAAAGCTACGCTCTGTTCAATAAAATCCAAACATTTTGTGCCCATTTTAACCAGTCCCTCAGCAATAGTTTTTGGAGGACATTTTATGTTGAAAGTTCCAATCTCGACGATTGGCTTCTTTTCCAAATTGATATTATCAAAAATTGCATATGATGTCATTTTGTGGAGTTTTCATTGACTGCTAACACGAGCAATATAAGCCGCTAATATAATAGTGATATAATAAATATTCACACTGAGTTAATTTTATGCATAGTATGTCTATATGACGATGGAGTGGTCAATGGACTTTTTAAACTTTCATAAATTATATTGTCTCACTTCAAGTGGTGATCAACAAATGCGAAAATTCAAAAAAATCTCTACATAAAAAGAATTCAGAAAAGAAAAATTTTATAATAATAATCACACAACTTCATAATAAATAGGAATTATTTTACATCCACTTGAAAACAAACATTATATCTATTTTTACAAAGTAAAATTGTTTAAAATGAATTACAAAAGACTGAGAAATCACGAAAATTATAAACAAATATTATAATATGTTCAAAAATTATTATCCAAGTCTCCTATGATACAATTTAAATAATTTTTAATGCTCTAAGAGAAAAAATAAGACTCTTTCTAATAATACTAAAATTGTCTAAATTCAGCATGTTTATCTATAGCTATAACTATTTAAAGATACGGTACATAATCTCATCATGACAGTAAATAGAACAGTACAAAACGTCCTATAGAACCTGTAATAAAATAAATTAGAATTAAAATTACGATAATAAAAAAATTTTTTTAAAATTTTTCAATGCTATTAACAAAATATATAGGAAATATATTATTTTCTTTTTTTTTTCTAACTTAGAAAGGTTATTCGGTGAAATGACTAAAATAACTCTTGTTTAATATTTAAATTAAATAATTTTACAATTTCACTTACCATTTCCAAAAAAAGAATATCCTTCCCAAAATACCAATTCCAAACCAATTCCCGACATGTTTTAACTTTGCGAAATCAAGTTTTGAAAGCGTGCGAAGACTTTGGCAATTGGCTTAAATGCGACATAAAAATAAACGTCATCATGCATCACTCCAAAATTATCACTATTATCACTATTTTGTTAATTTGTATGTCAATCAAAATTCATATTTACCACCTAAACTTATTAGTGAGACAATTCCCATTATTTACATTGTATATTTCTGCAGGAACATTCCAAACAATCGTCTCTTTCACATAACACCTTTCTTTTTCTCTCCAAAGATATTTTGCTTTGAAATAACCTTTTAGCTGCTTCTCTATAATAAAAAAAAAAATTTCTTAAAAAGCGAGCGAGGTGTTACATTGTTTTTAAAGTTATTGTGTATGTTTTTGACTTTTTAGTATTACATAAAAACAAATAAGGCACAGTTTATCGAGTTTTTACGATTTCAGATTTTTTAATGGAAAAATGCCTCCTATTTCAAGGCGTTCTCGACAATTAAAAAAGCACATGAAATACAAGCTCAAAAAAAAAAAGATGATAAAAATGATATAATAGATTTAATTATAAATATAAATAACAAGTACCGGTATTTTCTGAAATTAATGTGTTAAATATTGATTGGTATCAAATTTACAAAAAAATCTGTAATAGTGAAAATTGCATGAGACTACACATATATTAGCCCATTGATCACCCTAATATGACGAGCAACAACAACAAATAAGGGATGTGATTTCGGGCGTGCTGAAATTTTGCCAATTAATACAAGGTAGTGTGATGCACCACGCAAAAAGTAAATACAAAGGATCGGGACTTGCCCATGATACATAATATTGATTTCCTATGCTAATTCCCCTATGCTTTCACTGTTACCTCTCTATTTGGAAATTTTCCAGCTATCCGGACTTGATTTTCGGAATATAATTGTAACGCCTCAACAATTAGGATTCCAGGTTCTTTGATATTATCGCAAATCATAATATTTTTCACTGCCTTCCTTCCAGATACCAATGATCTTTTTGCATATAGGACAAATTTTGCGTATCATAGATATAATAACAATCTACACGATTCTCATCATCTCATCTATACTAGCGTGAAGTAGTAGACATGAGATAGTCCCTTTGAATCGATTTATCAAACAATTAATAAATGTATTATTCATAAATTAATATTGAGATAAATATATTTAATAATTTTGGACATCTATTATATAAAAAGAAATTTTGTTGATTCATCGTTAAATAATATTTGATGGTTAAGCCTTGTATTGTGATTTGTTCGCAAGGCGCTACGCTGGAGGATTCTTTAGACGAATGTCGTTTGAGGATAAAGCAGTAATACTACAACTCTGTAAATCCTATATTAAATCAAGTTCTATATTCTGATTTCCGTTTGTAACTATGATGTTACTAGATTGGTGTAATTGGTAACAATTGTTACTAAGTATAAATTTTGGTAATGATGTTTGTATATACTATTTCGTTCAGTACATTACAAGTTTTATTACAATTCCTGGAGATAGAGCATTGTACTTCTGATTGTGCATATTCTTTGTAGCACAAATTTGTGAAGTAGTTTGACACGTGTTCTGATATGCAGTACAACCTATTAGAAAATGCACTACGTGAAAATGAATGATCTTACCACACCACCTCGGAAAGGTGTGATGCCTAATAGTCACCGTTCACGTGACTTCCACGTTCGCGTTGTTTATATTTATATCAGCGACAGATTTTTTTGTGGTCTGATCTCTATTTGTCACCTGCATAAAATGTTACCTGTGTTACCATAAACATATAGCCGGCGGTGTGGTAAGATGATCCCATGAAAATAGAGTCAGCATCGCAAAATTCACCTTCTTGACTGTAACCATACCATCACCCTCCCTCTGTATAATATAAATAAATATTTTATAGCAAGGGGGTCAGTAGGGTGGGTCAAGAAGCGAAGAAGGTAATTTTTGCGTCAGCGTCAGTGGGTTAAAAGAACAAAATTTATGTTATAGTCAAAGTCGTTACAAACAGAGCACGTGTTTACTGCATTATACCAATGAAGCGCATTCTTTGTAGTATGAATTTTGCGGCGTAGCTTGTCATGTGTTTTCTCATGTAGTACAACCAATTTTAAAGTGATCACTTAGTTATACTGCAGCAAAATAATTATATTTCGCAATAAATTTCGCATATTGCGTAGCCAAGCTGACAAATCTATATTGTATCATAGATCATTTATCGGAATTTTTTCAAAAATTTTTTTATAAGGTAACGTGATCTACTATTTTACATGTTAACAAAATCAATTGTCTACTTTAGCTATTATTAAATGTTTTTTAATAAGATGGATGTTTCTTAATGGTGTTTTTATGTAAAAGACTTCAATTTTTTAACTTTTTTCCATCCTTTAACTATATGCATCGGTTAAAAGGGGGAAATACAGAATTTTTGAGTAATTTTGTTATTAAAAATTTAAAATTTTTTTCAGTTTGAAAAAAAAGCCTGAAAAAAAGACAAAAAAATTTTTAAATAAAAAAAAATAAATTTCCCGAATTATAAGAACCAAAAAAAAGGTATTTAGTAAATTTATCGGTTTTATAAGAACCGAAAAAAAAATATTAAAAAAAAATAAAAGTAAAAAAACAAAGCCCGTTATATAAATCTTTTTTTAATCGAATTTAGTATTATTTACAATTAATTTCTTTTATTATAAAATGACAGAAAAATAAAGTGAACTATTATTTTACATTCTAGTACGCATATGTTTCTGTTTACGACCACAATTTGTTACAAAAGTTTTTAATATAAAAATGTACACGTGAAATCTCATCCAATATATATGATAGAATACTAGAACAAACAATCATAAAACGAACAAGCATTCAGTTATTGATAGGCAATGATTATATATAGATTTGGTATTGGGGCACTTCATGTCTACATATTTGGTTGAAAAAACCGTCAAACATGTTGCGTTCAACTTTGGAAAATGGGAATCTCTGGAGTATCAAGCAAAGGAGTGACATGTTCACATTAACCCAGAGGTGGTTATAGCTTTAGAAACTGCCGAAATTGATTCTGGGTATGGAAAAATAGGGCAACTCAAAGCAGTGTGACATACAAAATTATATATAATTAGAGACACGTAGTCTCAGAGATATGGCAAAGTTATAGAAGATAAGAAATTAATAGGCTTAAATTACAAATTAACGAGATGAAAAACGATTTGAGTTTTATTCGATATTCAAAGAAATCAATAAAAGAACTGTTGTCATTATCTTTTCAATTTTATAGTGTATTGTATTTGTCAATAAATAACACCGTATCACTACCGTATCTATAAAGAGTATATATAGCAATTACTATCATATTTACTTGGTGTATTTGTGAAACCACATATAGGTGCTATTATTAAATATTATTAATAAAAATGATGCGAGCACAAAAACATAAACGTTCACAATGCGAAAATATGGCTTTAGCCACTTTCACTAATTAGCCTTAGACAAAGTTTGAATTTAGTAATTTTATTAATTCATGCACAAAAAAAAATAATAATATTTTTGAATATATAGTACGTTTTGTCACATCATTTAACATGCTTGTCATTTGACGAACGGATCCATGAACATAAATCGGGATAACGTATAGTGGTGATAAAATTATATGAATAATGCCCAGTTTCACTGGAATTAATGGATAACTAAAATGGTCTATCTTATTCGACAATCTTAGCTAATTTTAACTTATTTTCCCTCTTTCCCAAAAACTATGTATATAAAAATATTTGAGAGATAACAAATTATACGAAACTATGTAAAAGTAAAAGCACTGGAATGCATGCTCTCATCAAAGGGCTAATTTATAATAAATTGAATGTGTAATATATCCATAATAAAAGTACAAAGTAAATAATAAACAGAAGACGTGACAAAAATAACTTAAAAATATTATTTAATTGATGCTATAAGTTTGCTCATAATACTATTATAGTCTAATTCAATACAATAGTATTTACTCAATTTGTCATAAGATGCCTGTATTGCATCATCTCTATATTCCACCAAATCTTGATGCAACCGTGCAAAGAACCAGCGCATAAGATCATTAAAATGATAATTGCAATGAGCGTCAAATTTCCAATCACTAAAGTCGGTAGTTTTTGCAACTTCCCAAT